GTTGCTGAGTCTGAGTCTGTCTGTCCTCCGTCCGTCGGGGGTGAGTCTGCTCTTGGCACGGACGTCCTTGAGGACAGACAGGAGGAGTTTGAGTGCTTTGCCGCTGCTTTACCTCATCTCGTGTCCATGCTGATTGCCCCTGAGGGAGACCCGGATGCACCAGACATCCCGACCCCGCGCTCTTACGCAGAGGCGATAGGGGCGGACAGCCATGGACGCGTAAGATGGCTTCCTGGAAGTCCACAGGCACCTACGTCGACGAGGTTCCCCCACCTGGGGCGAACATCGTCAGTGGCATGTGGATTTTCAGGGTGAAGCGGCCGCCGGGTTCTCCGCCTGTCTTCAAGGCGCGTTACGTTGCACGAGGCTTCAGTCAGCGAGAGGGAGTTGACTTCTTCCAGACCTTCTCCCCGACCCCGAAGATGACCACTCTTCGGGTTCTGCTGCACGTCGCCGCTCGGCGTGACTACGAGCTCCACTCTCTTGACTTCAGCACTGCTTTCCTACAGGGCAGCCTGCACGAGGAGATCTGGCTGCGCCGCCCACCTGGCTTCACTGGGTCGTTCCCTGCTGGTACCCAGTGGAGCCTCCGGCGGCCAGTCTACGGTCTCCGCCAGGCACCCCGTGAGTGGCACGACACACTGAGGACTACTCTTGCTGCTCTTGGGTTTGCTCCTTCTACTGACCCGTCGCTGTTTCTACGCACCGACACCACTCTGCCGCCGTTCTACGTTCTCGTGTACGTAGACGACTTGGTCTTTGCCACTGCTGACACTGAGGCACTCGCCCACGTGAAGTCGGAGCTGCAGAAGAGACACACGTGCACAGACCTGGGTGAGCTGATAAGCTATCTTGGCTTGCGGATCACCCGGGACAGAGCACAGCGCACCATCACCTTGACTCAGTCACACATGGTGCACCAGGTCCTTCAGCGCTTCCGCTTCACGTACTCCTCGCCTCAGTCCACTCCTCTGCCTACCGGTCACTCGCTCTCAGCTCTGCCTTCGGATGAGTCCGTAGAGCCGAGTGGCCCGTACCCAGAGCTTGTGGGCTGCCTCATGTACCTGATGACCTGCACTCGACCTGACCTTGCATACCCTCTTAGCATCCTAGCACGCTATGTCGCTCCTGGCCGTCACCGGAAGGAGCACATGGATGCCGCTAAGAGGGTGTTGCGCTACTTGTGCAGTACGTCGGGCATGGGGCTTGTGCTTGGAGGACGGAGCGACGTTGTCCTCACTGGGCACTCAGACGCTTCTTGGGTTGACGACCAGGCTACGCAGTGGTCGTCACAGGGTTACACCTTCAGCCTTGGCTCTGGTTCAGTTTCTTGGCGTTCTACACGCTCGTCTTCAGTTCTCAGCTCCAGTTGTGAGGTTGAGATCTAAGCCACAGCCATGGCTGCACAGGAGTTACGCCGGCTCACCTACCTGCTAACCGACCTGGGAGAGCGGCCTCGTTCTCCTCCAGTGCTGTACGTCGACAACAAGGCCGCCATTGCCTTGTGTCAGGAGCACAGACTGGAGCACAGAACGAAGCACATCGCTCTGCGCTACTTCCTTGCTCGAGAGTTGGAGCAGCGTGGTCAGCTTCGTCTTGCTTACGTGGCCACTCGGGCCAACACTGCTGATGTGTTCACCAAGGCGCTTCAGCCTTGTGATCATCAGCGTTTCTGTACTGTTCTAGGCCTTGTGCCTACTGTGCCTCACTTACTTACTTCTTGACTCTGCTTGTACTGTGATCTCTATATATATACCTGCATGCTTACACTTGCTAGGTTGTGATCACTGTACCTCTTGTTATATTATCAAACTGCATGTGAACTGGTCTTGTGACCGCTTGCTTGTGCTCGGAATTTGTGTGGTATCCTTGAGATCCACCCTGAGCTTGTTTTGCTTTGCTTTGCTTTGACTGGTCTTGTGACCATCTGGTTGTCTCCCACTTAGCCTATGGGGGTGTGTCAAACATTGTATATGTTTATATTCTGTAGGCTATAGTGGGTTTAGCCTTAGGGGGTACAACATTCTAGGATTTCCTACTTGTACTCCCAATGATGTTAGTTCAATCACTCTTGTTCATTCTGACACATTCGGAACTGCTTAGCCATGAAAAAACTTCCAGATTGTGTGACGGCGCTCGTGAGCCTCCGAGTGCTGAGGATTGAAGGGTGTAGCAGTCTCTTGTCGGTTCCCACAAGGCTGGATTGGCTTACTAGGCTGAAGGAGTTGGAGCTAAGGGGATGTTGGCTGCTGAGGGAAGCCCCGCAGGCTCTGCCACTTGGTCTCCAGGCCCTGTCCTACAGAAACAATGAGCAGTTGGTGTCGCTGCCAGGCATTTCAAGTCTCACAGAGCTCAGCCATCACCACTCTCCACCACCTCACATCTCTTCAGATCCTGGCGCCGAAGTTATCTTCCCTTCCAGATGCATTCGGGTCACTGTCAAGACTGCGCAAGCTGAACTTATCCCAATGCTCATCACTCACGCATCTTCCTGCGTCCCTCACGCAGCTCTCCTGCCTGCATGAGCTGAACCTCAGCAACACCAGCATCCGGCTGCTTCCTGCTTGCTTTACGCAACTCAGCAGGCTCATGAAGCTTGATCTCCATAACTGCAAGCAGCTGGAGTCTCTGCCTAACAGCATATCCGATCTCTCAATGCTGGATCACTTCTCTACTGATGGGTGTGACAAGCTTCAGCACTGAAGATCCTTATTCCACTCATGAAATACGGTAACGGTAGGTCCTTGTGTACCTGCATGCCAGCATCCCCAGGCTCCACTAGAGTCCAACGTCTTTTGTCAGTCAATATTTGAATCACTTATGGAAGCTAGAATCTTCGGTCTTAATAAATTTGGGCTGAGACTTTAATGTGGTTGATGCATTCCTTGTATTATACATTTACCATTTACTGCTGGAACTCATGAAGCTTCATATGGTTCATTGGAACTCGATAACACCAGCGGCTGCAAAAAAAAAAAAAAAAAAATCAAAGGGTTGCTGTCATTATGCCAGATGTTGAAATGCCTTCAATACAGTGGTTACCGACGAGGGGAACGTGCCGCTTTTCTTAAGGGAACGAGCGGCAACAGACTGCTGTTCAGAAGCAAGGTGACTTGTGAGTTATATTGAGAAGATGTTCAGAAGGTGCTGTGGAAGATGGTTGAGGAGAGGCCACGAGTGACAGAGCAAAGTGCCAGAGACACCCTAACGCCAAGAGTCGTGACCTTGGCGTTTCAGCTGCTAAATAGGGCCTGCAGAGGGGAGGGAGGGGTGAGGAAGGCCAGGAAGAGAGTGCGGGAAAGGGCAGGGAAGGCAAGGAGAAGATGAAGGGCCAGAAGAGGCAGATCACACTGCCTGGAAGCCGCCCAGTTCAAGAGGACCGATCCACTGTTCAGAGGCCCCCTGTCAGTGTTAGTTGCGGACATGGGCCCTGCGCCCTATAGGTTGGGCCCGCTAAGCTCAAGGGGGAATGGAGAAAGAGAGAAAGTGCAAGGGTATGGATGGATCCTCTCTCTTCTGATTCTGAATCGTGCCTCGTGCAGCTAAGGGAGTTGGGCAAATTCGAGGGCAGGATAGGCAGTGAACTGGCAAAGTTGTATATCACAAGCGATTGCAGTGAAGGCCAAAGCCAATGCACAGGCATGGTGGGGAGATGATGGGACGATGGGGCGATGGGGTAATGGGTTGGAGGGGTAATGGTTAGATGGGATGATCGGGTGATAGGGTGATCGTGTGATGGTCTGATGGGGTGATGGGGTCATGGTGTGATGGGGTGATGGTGTGATGGTGTGATGGTCTGACGGTGTGATAGGATGATGAGGTCATGGGTGAACGGTGCGATGGGGGACTGATAGGATGATGGCGTGATGGGCCGATGAGATGAAGGTACTGTCTCCTCCATTGAAGGGTGGTCATAGAGGACAATGGGGTGCCAATGGCAGTGGTGGTGCACCGGGCAACAAGTGACAGCACAGTCCTGATTCTGTAGAGGCAGATTCGATACAAGGCACTACTGCCTCAGCGTAGAGAATGGTTATTCGTGTGTGAGTGTAGAGACGGCAGGGGTGGATGCAACTTGGGAGAAAGGGTGGACAGATATAGGGGGAGCACGGAGGTGGGTGCAGGAAGGGCGGATTGGAGCAGTGTGATGGACGCTGCAGGCTGCACTATGCACACCTGGTGGGTCATTGGGGGGAAGGGGTGGCCGTAGAGGGTATGATGCGGTATAGGCGAATTGGATCAGTGGGAGGGATAGACCGGTGAGGTGGGTGAGAGAGAGAGGCGGTGAGTGATCCAAGGAATGATGGTCCTTGGATTACTAGCACTGCCATTGGACAGTCTGCCACAGGGCCGCGTTCAGCCTCGGGGCATTCAGATGCGAGAAATTCGTAGGTCATGCAGCACACATGGACGGAGTATCGGGCACCCTGAAAAGCACCGACACAGAGCAATCAGCCGGCCGACATACAACCTCTCACCAATCAATCACCCGCAAACTACCTGAGAGTGACGTGAGCCCGCATCCATCTCACCACGCACCTCCTTCATCCGCCCCGCCTCAGTGCAGCTACAGCAGTGACCTGCTAGTGATACACATGTAGCTTACACCCCTCTCATCACACACCCACTCTCCTTCCTCCTCAGCTCGTCCTTCAGAAAGGAAACTGCCACAAGGCACCCAGCAGCCCTACCCAGCCTCACATCACATGTGACCCACAAGTATCAAACAGCCCAGCCCAAGACCTCTGACTCACTCAGAACGCACCTCCCCCCTATGCTCTCCCCTACTCAAAAACCGCCATGGGGCACCCAGCAGCCCAGCCTCGCCCGGCCCCTTCCTAGCCTCGCCCATCCCCTTCCCAGCCTCGCCCAGCCCCACAAGAACGACCTAGAAGGCATCGCACCACGCACCTCCTCTCCCGCTGCTCGTCTTCTCAAACAGAAAACCGCCACGGGACACCCAGCAGCCCAGCCCCCCTACGAGCTTCGTCTGCAGCCTGTCATGCACCTCCGCCACGATAGTCTGCAGCCTCTACCGTGCTTCCGTGCGCCCTCACACACACACCATAGAGGCGCGAGTCGGTGGGCCAGAAGGTGTAGGCGAAGCAAGCGCCAAGCTGACTGAGGGGGGGAGAGAAAGAGGGGGGGAGGGGAGGGTGGAAGGGAGCGGAAACGGTGAACAGCACAGTGGGTCATGAGAGGGACGTAGGAGATGCCGAAGTGTGTGGTGTGGGATGCAGGTGCGCAGCTGGGGGTACAAGGGGTGGAGGGGGTAAGAGGGAATAGGGCAATGCTGTTGAAGGGAGGGTGCGGTGCAGCCTTGAACGGAACGGGTAAGAGGGAATAGGGCACTCAGCAGCCCGCAGGTTCCTCGTGAAAAGTGCACTCTCGTTGCAGAGGCGCACAGGCAAGGAGTGAAAAATGCGCAGAAACCCAGTGTGACGCCAATCTAGGACTTGGGAACAGCCTCAGCAGCCTCACGGTGCGCAGCCTCAGCAGCCCGAAGGTTCCCTGTGAACAATGCGCTCTTGTTGCAGAGGCGGGAATGAATGGGCCAGGAACCAGTGCAGGCGAAGCAGGTGCGGTGCTGGTGGGGAGACGGCAACAGGGTTGGGGGAGGTGGAGTGAGAAGGGGAGAGGAAAGGAGAGTGCATGAGTGAGCAGCAGTGCACCGCCACGGCGCCACCGAAGGGGCAGGAATGCGTGGGGCAGACGTTGGTGTAGGAGAAGCAGACGTGGAGCTGGGGAGTGGGGGATGAAAGGGAGAGGGCATGGGGAGGGGAGCGATAGTGCCTGGGTGAGCATTGCGGCCATGCTGTAGGAGCGGAGTCGAGCCTGTGGCCCTGTGGGTCAGAACCTGGAATAGGGAAAGCAGGTGCCGAGTTGGAGGGGCGGAGGTGGGAGGGAAAGAAACGGAGGTAGTTGGAGAGGGTATGGGGAATGAGTCAACTCACCTGGCCTGCCCATCAACTCAACTCAACTCAACTCAACCCACGTGCCTCTCCCCGCACACCCACCTCCTCTGCTCGTCCCTGACGAAGGACACGGCCACCGCGCACCCAGCGACCCAGTCACTCATGAACGTCAAGCACACCACTGTCCCTCCCTCACTGAAAACGTGGAACACGCGCATTGGAAAAGGTGGAAAGGGGAGAGTAAGGTGGTGCGCAGTGCGCCGCCAGTGACTAAACGGTGTAGTGGCAGGACTTCGTGTAGAAGCAGGTGATGTGGAGCTGGTGGGGTTGGCCGGGGAAGACGAGGGGTGGGGGGAGAGGGTATGGGGACGGGAGGGATGCTGCTGCCTTGATGAACAGTGCGATCGCGCTGTGGGAGGCCGAGTCAGTGCCGTTGGAGGGGGGGATGTTGGAAACAGTGCCGGCGTGAGTCTGTGAGTTGGAGGGGTGATGGGGGAATAAATCTGAATCTCACCTTGCTACAGCTCCCTCCTCTCACTCTCCCAACCATCTAGCTATGCATCCACTCGCAGCGACTCCACAGCGACTGCTCACCAGCTCCTCACCGACTCTCAAGAGACTCCCACCGCAGCGACGACATCCATCTACTCAACTGTCCGCTTCCCACCATCGCCAGCAAGACATTTGAGTCGCTCAAGTGATTCAGAAAATTCCTATGCGCATCTCCCCCGCCCCGAGACGACTCTCACCTTAGTGATACATACCCCGCTTCTCAACCACCCCCTGGGGCCCTTGCCACCCATCGATAACACCCCTTACATCCTCCATCCATGGCCCTCGCCCGCCCCAGCAGCAGTCCCCCCCTCTCCCTCACCCACCTTCAAACATCCTCTTCCTACCCTTCACCCCCCTTCATCCTCCCCTCACCGCTAGTGACTCTCACACACGCCCCTACCCCACAGAGTCCCCTCACCGACTCGCACACACATACCCAGCTCTCAGCCCCAGTTGTTTCGCACCGAGGTTAGATCCACCTTGTCACCTGCCCCCACCCCTTACCTACTCTCGCGTTGCCAATAACCAGCTTGTCAACGGCACCCCGCCCATCGCCGGTAAGGCCAAGCGTTCTCGCCTCTGCCAGCCCCATCACGAGGCCGCCTTTCACCACGTTCGCTCTCTCCCTCCCCGCCTTGCTCGCCGCCGCACTACCGCCGCCGCCAACGCTGTTTGCGCTGCTTGGCGGTGTCCCCGCTCGTCTCGCCGCCTGCCGCGACGCCTGTGGCTTTTGCCGTTCTTCTCCCTCTACTTCTCTTGATTTATATCCTTGTACTCATCCACATTCTTCTCCTGTTGGCCTCCACGGCTTCACTTATCTCCCGAACGTTGCGTGGCTGATCAGAACTCGCGAAACCTGTGGCTTCAGTATCAGTCGCCAAGCCGCGCACTAGTAGCAGAACACTCAAAAACACCTCCTTCACTCGCACGACCTGCCTACTAAGGTTCCGTATTTCCAGTCGTTTTCTTAAAGCTACTGCCGGGTTTTGAGCTCTCATATTCGCTTTTTTCTCGGAAATCGAGGACGATTTTGGTGGCGTTTCGTTCGCTATACCGTTCGCGATGTCCAAGAAAGGTAGGGAAGCTGCCAGTCGAGCCATCCGCGCTCATGATCAGCTGAGGATTTACGAATACGCAAACAGAGGAAATAGGAATTTCGAGTGTACTTTTTAGTTCGTGCCGGGAGAAAACACAAGTCTTCGTAGGCGGCTCAAAGGATAGGTGACAGTAACAGTCCTGTTGACCATTACGAAAAACGGGGGGCGGTTTGAGCATCGGGGCTAGGATACGAGGTAGCAAGAAGTGTGGACCAGAGGTTCCGTAAGCTTCAACTTAGCACGAATTCGACAGGCTAGGAGGAGCCAAGCAAAATAGGATGCAAAATGGGATGAGGTACCATGGCTCGGCCATTACTGAGATGAGCGCTGATGCGCGCCGAGCTGATCGGAACTTCGGCTTCCTCTTTTCTCGAGGCTGACAAAGCCAGGATCTCTGATTGGCCAGTCTGGTTCGGAAGAGCTGGTCTGTGCTGTGTACAAGTCAGGCCAGAGCAGGTCCGGCTTTCTCGAGGCTCCATTCTGAGACTGGACACAAAGCGTGGGATGGGGTTGGGTTCGGCGGGAATGACACGCAATTCGCCAGAAGGGCTGGTTTCCGCCAATTCTAGCAGCGACAAACCCAGCACGCCGTAAAAACCCGCGCAAGCACTCTCAATCACATGGTCGCACACACCTACAACTTTCGCTAGGCTCGCCAACCCCCCTTCCCAGCTTTCATGTGTCCGCGGGACTGGGAGGTGGGGTGAGGCAGGCAGCGCGGGTGCGGATGGCTGGCGGAATGCTTGATGGGGAGGCACACCCGTTCCCCCCAGCCTTGCCTTCGCTTGCTTCTCCTCTCATACACCACCACCCCTGCTGCTGGAGCTCATGACATCGTTTCCTTCGTTCGACGCGCTATAGCGAGTACCTCTACGCAAAATTTAGGCAATGAAGAATCAAGCTTTGCTGCTCTTGCCTCGTGGCTCTCATGCGTTGTTTTCGCTCCATTCATAGTCTGTGCTTCATCCAAACACGAAATGTCTGCATATGCGAAATCTGGAATAGGTCACGGAAATCGAAAAGCCAGCCTTGTCCTGGTTTGGCAGGGCTGGATCTGATGGTATTCAAGGGGTCAGCTGGATCTGACGGCCTAGTGTCTCGGATCAGCCGTTCCAATGCTACCACCGTCCCACACAGGTTTCTCTTGCGCCGTTGCTGTGTCACCTGTAGAACCTAGTGTCGTTTTTAAAACGTCAGCTCAAATGTCGAACACGCTGTCCACATTGCCTTGCGTCAACCTTGTCCTCCCTTCTATTCCTCTCCTCCAATCTACTCGCGTTTCTCCACTCATGAGCAGATCGCACACGAAAGGAGTACGCTAGTCAATCGAGCAGATCTGGACTCACTTTGTTTAAACCTGCCTACTAATCTTCCCGTGAGTACGCTACTCCCTATTTCTCGCGATATTTCTTAAGACACGTCTCAACAGCTTATCGCTCCTTGGCCCGTCATCCGTTGACCTTGCCGTTTTGATCTCTGAATTTCCGGGATGGAGTCTCACACGAATATCAGTAGTCTCCCAGACGACCTTCTCGTTGAGATCCTGAGACGGTCCTTCCAGCAGCACGCTTCATGCGAGTCCTACATAGATAGCTTGTGGACGTCTGGCTATGTCTGGTCTCCTTTCGAAGATGGGACCAAAGCATGTCTCGTAGTCAAGTCTCCAATACCAGCTCCTCCCCCAGCCGCCGACATGGCTTGGAACCCCCTCAACGCTTCTGTCTGCCGTCGGTGGCGTCGTTTAACGATGCGTCACGTGACCACGCTGCTCGTGAAAGAGGACCTCCTTGTGTCCCTTGAAGATCTCTCAGCGGCCGTCACGTGTTTCCCCAGCCTCACCCATCTACATGTCAGCGACAACAGCGTCGAGTCAGTCGATGACGCCTTTCTCGCTCACCTCGCTGTGTCATGCCCGAAGCTGACTCACCTCCACGTGGGGAGGAGCTTTGCATGGCCATCAACCGAGAGTGATGTCCACCCAGTCAAGGAGTATCGCAGAAAGGAGGAGCATTCAGTAACTACGGATGGCTTGGATTGCTTTTTCTCGAAGCTCCCTCGCTTGGAGCAGCTTACTCTCTTCTGCCTCCACCCAGCAACAGAGCTACCACACTCTTTTTTCCAGTTGAGATATCTGCACACCGTTGTTTTGAATAACGTTTTAGCCTTGGAGAATCCAGATTTCACAAGCCTTACTTCTCTTACCTCCCTCTATATCACCTTTCCTTGGAATTTTCAGCACCTGTCCTGCCTCCTTCACCTCCCACGACTCGCCCACCTCTCCACCTTCGCCCCTCACCAGAACCATCAGCCAGCGGGTGCTGCAAGCGTGACGTTACCGTCCTGCCTGAATTCGCTCAATTTCATATACTCTTGCCCTAAATTCGACACCATCTTCCCACTAGCATCGCCGTTCACCGGGTTAGAGGAGCTGTTAATCACCAAGTGCAGTGAGCTGCAGACCCTTCCTAATGGCATTGGAGATCTGCTGCCTTGCCTTAGCAAGTTGACCATCCGCGAGTGCTATTACTTGGAAACGCTGCCTGAAAGCTTCACTACTCTGAGTAGTTTGAAAACCCTCATCATCTCTATCTGTAACGCATTTACACTACCTGACAACTTTGGACACCTACCTGCCCTCAAAATGTTGGTGCTGGAGGAATTGCAATGTATGGATCTCCCTCCGTCCTTCTGCCATCTCACGTCCCTCGAGGCACTCTTGATAATCGGTTGCAGTGGTCTTTGTGAGCTTCCAGAAGGGTTCTGCCGCCTCACGGCTCTCAAGGCACTCTACATCACAAGCTTACAGGATTTGCAGCTGCCAGAGGACGTTGGGGCCTTGGCAAGTCTGGAGGCTCTCAGGTTGTATAGTTTCGCAGATCTTTTCCCTGATTTCTTGACGCAGCTGCCTTCCTTAACAAGCCTTGAGCTGGATTATTGCTATTCATTCGTGCTCCCCACCATAATTCTTCCTAGCTCACTGTTACAGCTTACTGGACTTCAAATAATGAAGGTCACCGATTGCAGCCCACTCTCTGAAGTACCCGGAAGTCTAGACACGCTTACAGAGCTTAAGAGCCTCGAGATCACGGTTTGTGAGCAGTTGGGCAAACTCCCTGCTGATTTGCCGCCTTCTGTTGAAACCCTCTGTTTGGGGCCCTTCAAGGAAGGCTCTTCGCTTTCGTGGATATCTCCAACCTGTCGCAGCTGAGGGTACTGAAGCTGAACTGTGCTGGGGTGATATGCGGGCCTTCAGCAGCCAATTGGTTGGCTTGCCAGGAGCAGATAGAGCAGTTGGAGCAGCTGGCACAACATTCCCAAGGAGGAGGGCCGGGGTTCCCAGATCTTTCTCCCTTGCGCAGATTGTTGAGTGAGCAGCTGAAGCTGCTGCAGCCGCTGGAGCAACTTGAGCAGGTGACTCAGCTGCAGCAGCTGGAGCAGTTGGAGATGCGTTTTGCTGGTGACAACTGGGATTTCCCAACCTCCTTGACCCTTCTCCCTCGCCTGCGCAGCTTGCTGATAGATGTGCCGGAACTCCACAGCCTCCCAGGAAACATTGGGGCAGCGTT